TCTGTAGTCTTACTGGGGCTCCTGGCCCTAGAAGCTGTCTGCCTCCTCCCAAGCACACACCTGGAGCTAAGCGAATAAACCTGCAGTCCTGGCCTCCACTGACCCTCTCTCCCAGCCTCCGGGCTAACGGAACCCTGGCTTTAGCAATCCTGCTCACGAGCCACATCTTGGGAACACTTCCAATGGCAGTGAGTTCTGAGGCCCACCCTGGTGGTCACCAACTGCACCTCCAGGCGGCTCTGGGTGGCTGGACGGAATGTTCGGGCCTCAGGTGGCCACAGCCACCCGGACAGCGGGCCCCTTGGCAAGAAGGCCCCATTGCCCCAGGCCTCGCTCTCCCCGGTCAGTCCAGCACCAGGATGCAGGGCCCAAGGTGGTTTCTGGGCCGGGAGGCAGGCGGGGCCGGGCCTTCCAGGGAGACAGCTAAAGGGGGCATTGCCTTCTGAGTCTCTCTCTCTCCATCTGCCCTTGAACTTCAGTGTTTTATTCAAACGTCCCCCCGCCTCTGCCTGCACATGCCAATGTGCCATGCCGTCCCGGGCCGCAGACCCCGCCCGGTGTGACAGAGGTCAAGAGGAAGACCCCAGAGGCTAAGCCACTTTGAGTTCCAACACCCTGGCATCTGAGGCCCAGGGGTGCTGCCTTCCAGGGCACTTCCCTCGAGGCTGTCTGGACGGGGCCCCCACGTTTCCCAGGACTCCCCATAGCAGGCCTCAGTCCCAGACAGGGTCACTTCCTCACGGTCCGTGAGTTCGAGCCCCGCGTCGGGCTCTGTGCTGACAGCTCGGAGCCTGGAGCCTGCTTCGGATTCTGTGTCTCCCTCTCTCTCTGCCCCTCCCCTGCTCGTGCTGTCTGTCTCTCTCTCTCTCTCTCTCTCCCTCAAAAATAAACACTAAAAAAATTTTTTTTAATTAATATTCTTTGCTTCCTAACTTTCGTGCAAACAAAAAGTGCCCTGGCCTAATGGGTGAGGATTTTTAAAGAGGACGACGTCAGGGTGACAGAGTCAGCCTCCCATGGTGGCAGTGCGGGGCCCTGGCTGGCATCTCCCCTCCTCTGCACTGGGGAGTGAGTGGGGTGGTTCTCTCTGAGGTGTGATTTTGGGGAGACGAAGGTGAGGGGTGTGGAGGGGTCTCCTGGGGGCGCGGCACTCAGATGAGACCTGGGGCTCTGGCTGCTTGCGCTCCACCGGGAGGCCCTCAGCCCCAGTGGGAAGTCCCCCCCTGGACAAAGACGGTACAGAAGCCTCTTTTTTCTGCGGGAGGATGCTCCATGAGCCGCCAGGAGGGGGCGTCGTGCCCACACAGGGTCTCCAGGAACCGATTTGAGGGCCCCTCCCAGGGGCCAGGATTCCCCAGAACTCAGGCTGGAAAGCACCACTCTCCTGCAAGCTTCTGGTTGAACAAGTGCAAGGACAAAGTTGGTGGCCGAGACAGCCATCCAGGCTTCCTGCCCCCCCAAACGTGCAAGAGGCCAGATGCTGCCCGCTGGGCCAGCTCCCCGGCCTCCTTACTGCCAGGTAGCTTTTAAAATGCAGGTCTGGGGGCAGCCCTGGGGGGCTCCGTCGGGTAAGCACCCAACTTTCGAGCTCGGCTCAGGTCACGATCTCACGGGTTTGTGAGTTCCAGACTGGAGGCAGGCCCTGCGCTGACAACGGGGAAACCACTTGGGACTCTCTCGCCCTCCCTCTGCCCCTCCCCTGCTCATGCTCGCACTCTCTCTCTCTGTCTCTGTCTCAAAATAAACAAACGTTTTAAAAAAATAAAAGAAAATGCGGATCTGTTCTGTCATTTCGTGAGTACTTTCTCTAGCTCTAGGGATGAAGGGCCCCCGCAGGCACCCAGAACCCAGGTCTGACCACCCCACCTGCTCCTGCAACTGGCAGCCTGGGGTCCTTGGCACCCTGGGTCCCCCACTGCCACCCTCAAGGTTCCTTCTTGAGCCCCCCCCCCCGGGCCCCTCCCACTCTGGAGGATGTCACAGCTGCTGGTGGCTCTGTGATTCTAGTGTCCCCAGGGGTGGGCACAGCACCACCCTTGCCTGGGTACGGAGTGAATGAAGGAGGGAAGGAGGGGTAAGAAGGGGTGAGTGAAGGGATTCACTTGGACTGGGTTCCGAGTGACGCCAAGGCTGAGCCCTGGTGAGGAGCCCACCCCCGGGTGCTCTGGGGGCAGCAGGAGGGGAAGGAATGGAAGGGGAGACACCGTGAGCCTGACGTCCGGCAGCAGCTGACAATTGTGCCCCCCACCCCTTCTCCGTACCCAGCCCCTTGGAGCCCCCCAGCGGGCCAGCCCGGGAGGGTCCAGCTGCGTCCCTCCACCTCGGCCTCCCGTCCCCGTGGACGTGAGCTGGGTGTGACGGATGCCAGGGACTTCCCCCCAGCGTCCCCCTCACCCCACTGTCCACAGCACAGCCCATCAAGGCATCTCCTCCAGGACAGCCCCAGCCACTTTCCCAGCACCACGCACGCCACGCAGCCCAGAACCACGGATGTCCTACAGGACCCAGGAAGGACCTTAGGGACCCGAACCTCAACCTTTTGGTCCCAAAGCAGCTGGCCCCGCTTGGCGGAGCGGCCGGGGGGTCAGGGGTCAGGAGACGCAGGCTGGCTCCTGGAGCCAGGGAGGCCAATGGCTTATAAGAGGCACGTCGCCCCGGAATTCTGCTGGCCACACTCACCCCCCGGGAGGCCACGCCAACACCACGTGCACACCTTGCGCCCCTGAGCCCTGAAACCTGTCCGAGGGCCACCACGTAGGTTTCCCCAGCCTGCACCTCCCACCTGCCCCCTGGTGGCCTCGTGCATGCGGCCTGCCCGCCGGCCCCTCTGTCCCGCTTGGCCAAGGCTTTCTGAGACTTGCCCCAACCTCAGATGCACCTGCACCCACACCTGCGCAGAAAGGCCAGGCCCCAGGCCCCGCCACTCGGCAGGTGGTCTCCTGGGCAGACACGTGACCCAACTGCCCTACCACTAAAACACCTATCCGTAAGGTGTCTGGGAGTGGTGAGCCCCCGCTCCAAAGAGCACTAGTGAGCTGCTCACCAACGTGAGCGCCCACGCGACCCTGCCAGCTTTCCCGCCCGGACCCCGTGCCCGCCCTGGCAGTCCGGCACACGGCCCTGCCATCTCGTTCCCACAAAAGCCACACAGAAGTGGCCCGCTTACCGTCCAGACGAGGCCCTCCCCCCACGCCCCCAGCCTCCTGGACCGTCCTGCCCACGCCTCCCCAATGGCGAACTCGGAGTCCTCCAGACCCACTTCCCAGTTCTGCCGACTCCTGGGCCCCTCTGGCCGCCCTGCCATCGCCAGCACTGAGTTACCTCTTCCCAAAGTGCAGGTGTAAGGGTGCCTTTACTGCCCCGCTGGGGTGAGGGTACCCCCAAATCCAGCCCATAGGCCCCCAACAGCCTCGCAGCAGAGGCAGACGACGGCAGCACTGGGAGCCAAAGCCGCCCCATCTCCCCAGCACGGCACCCTCCACAGAGCGGGGTGGGACGCCCAGGGGCACTAAAGCCCTCGCAGACAGCACGGCACCCACAGTCACCACCCCAGGCTGGTATCATCTGTGCTCCCAGACTCGGGGTAGGACATGACAGCCCAGGGCTGCGGCGGCCAAGGCTCCTGGCACCTGGCGTGCACACGGTGGCACAGACCAGGAACAAGGCCCCCAGGCAGGCGAAATGCCCCCCCCC